AAACAACATGGGGGCAGTATAGTAAACTTTATTGAAATTATTGCTATAATATATTATTGTTGTGTTTTGTGCGTGATGACAGGTTTCTGGGCGTTTTTGTGGTTTGTTTGTTTCTGCTTCTTGGCCAACCAATGGCAGCGCACCACCCCAGATGAGCTGCCCTTAAATCAGGGAGCGGATGCTGCCAGAGCTGCCATTACCTTCTCCTTCTTCTCCATCTTCACCTGGGTAAATGAGCATAACTATCTGTACACAGAAATGAAAACACTTTTTATTGACACATTTATTTTATTCCGTTACAAATCTAAAGCTGAAATGGCAGGATATGCAGAACACAGTCCATTTCAGTTGTTATATCATGAACTATCTCATTGACATTAGCTTGCTCTACATACTGGTTTCAGCCCTCAGGGGATGTGGGAACATATAATAGAATTACTTCCTTCTCCCTTGCCGTCGTGAATGAGGATGAGAATAGTGTTCGGTGGCGTGTCCTGATGTGAACGAAACTGATGCTATTTCTTACAGTTACTGAACAAGAGTGAAATGTATGACTTGTCTTGATCTTTAGCAATTGTTACATCAATGATTCATGTTTAGAAATACACACAAGCACTACCATTTAGAATTATTTATTAATTTATATTGTCTTTGTGTAAACCGTGATACACTACCATTTAAAGGTTTGGGGTAAGATTTTTTACTAAATGATTTGTATATTTTTACATTTATTCAGCAAGGACCTATTAAATTGATCAAATGTGACAGTAAAGACATTTATGATGTTACAAAATATTTCTATTTCAAATAAATGCTGTTCTTTTGAGCTTTCTGTTCATCAAAGAATCCTAAAAAAATATTTCCACAAAAATATTAAGCAGCACAGCTGTTTTTAACACTTATAATAATAATAATAATAATAATAATAGTAATAAATGTTTCTTAAACAGCAAATCAGTATATGAGAATGATTTCTGAAGAATCACGTGACACTGAAGACTGAAGTGATGAACAGCGTTTATTTGAAATAAAAATATTTTGCAACATTATAAAAGTCTTTACTGTCACATTTGATAAATTTTGTTCTTGAGTTCTTTTTAAATATCTTACAAACCGCAAAAAATTTGAATGATAGATACTTAACTCATATTTTCTTCAGAAGGTCCTTCAAATTATATAATGTTTTGAAAGTTTTATGATAATGTTTCAGCATGTTGCTAAGGATACAAATTTAGCCATATCCTCCTGACTACCAGGAAAAAACAGTTTTGTGAATTTAGTATTTTGTCATGTCATTACATTGTTTAGAGCATAAGAAAAATTTGAAAAATAACATTTTTGAAAAATGATATTTTATTCATATGTTATGCCATGTCCTCTGTAGAAGACATCGGGACTTTAAAAAGTCCTGTTTTTTAAGAAATAAAAAGATGTGTGCTCTGTACAGGACATCCAGACTTAAAACTGTGACATGTAACGTCTCAGAGAAATCACTAAAACATAATGTACTCTACAGAGGACAAAACTCCATAGCTGGTAGTCAGGAGGATATGACAAAACTACAAAACTAAATGCCAAGTACTAGAATTATCTGGAACCAATAAGACTGCAGTGCCTTCAGGTTTAAAAAAAAACTGTTTGGTTTCTTCAGTACAAGTGGTCAGAGTTGAGCGTAGTTATTTTTAATGAGAGTTCGATACTAATGCGTGTGACTGTCATTTGCTTCCTCTCTGTATTTCAGGCTGGTTTGACCGTGAGAGCGGTGCAGAAGTACATGCTAGGGACCGACATGAGCCTCTTCACCACAGAGCACATGGACGGAAAGCCGCCTGTCCAGCCCTCCCCCACCGGCACGAGCACCGAGCCCAACGACACATACCAGAGCCCACACTTCACCGAAAACCTGGACTCCAACGCCCCAACCTACCAGGTGCCAATTTACTGAAACGGTGCCTCTAGCACCAGTCCACATGCGATGCCACTGGTGTGTCAGAGTCAGTGTGGATGGCTAGCACTGGTCTTCAAACTGAAGTGGTGTGACAATGTTCATAGGTAGCACCGTTCTGTGAACTTCTGTACAAGAATATGTTGATTGTGATTTCACTTTCGTTCGGAATATTACGTGTTAATTTATCAGCTGGAATGAAACCGTTTGAGGGTTATCAGTGTTGTTTAAAATGAAAAAGGTTACGTTGCATGTGTTATATTTAGAGAGCTATGAAGTGCCATGCATCACAAACAATACCTTATATATTCAGTTTCCATAATGCTGTTGGGTACTGTATTTAAAGTGCAATATCTGAAACATGGAATCACCGAAACATTTTTGACACATTTAAATGTTCTCCAACTAAAAGCTTACGAGAGGTGGTCTTCCTAAAAGAGGTTAAGAGTTTGGCTGTAGATTTAAGGGTGTCTTATGCATCAAAAGTGTGTAGAAAAGATGTTGATTCAGTGTTTGATTTAGTGAAGCCACTAAACGTGTTACGACATAGTCAGATTTTTGTAGCTTACAATGCGTGAATACTTCTGACCGTATCAGAATATAAAAATTAAATGAATCCCACTAAAAAGATTTCAAACAAATGTTTTTTTTTTTTTTATCAGAGCCACAATCAGTTGGCATTTTAAAATTGAGGTTATGCAAACATATAAACTGGCATTTAAAATAAATGCTTTATGAATATATTTACAAACTCGGACAATGACACCACTTGGTATGTTTTCAACATTAGAAATTGCTAGTAAGAAAGTCAAATGTGATCAATTAAATCGATCAAAAGTGACAGTTAAGGCATTGGAAATGTTACAAAAGATTACTATTTCAAATCAGTGCTGTTCTTTTGAACTTTCTATTCATCAAAGAATCCTGAAAAAAATATTAAGCAGCACAACTGCTTTCAACATTGATATTAATAATAAGAAATGTTTCTTGAGCAGCAAATCAGCATATTAGAATGATTTCTGAAGGATCATGTGACACTGAAGACTGGAGTAATGATGCTGAAAATTCAGCTTTGCATCACAGGAATAAATACAATTTTAAATTACATTAAAATAGAAAGAAGTTATTTTAAATCCTAATAATATTTCATAATATTACTGTTTTTAGTGTATTTTTCATCAAATAAATGCAGCCTTGGAGAGCAGAAGAGACTTAAAAAACCTTACCAACCTCAAGCTTTTGAAAGGCAGTGCATATACCAGTGGTTTGCAAAGTAATTTGTTTGGGACACCCTGCAGATATTCATCAGTTGGCTGTTGTTTAAAAAAAAAAGCTGTTTGGTGGCCATCATCAGTGCTTTGTCTGATATGTGGTAGATTTTGGTAATGTTTCTGTGTTCAGAGATAGGGCAACATACACAAATGATAGTGATTGTACTTCAATACATGTAAACGGAGTATGTTTGTGAAAGTGGTCAGGGTCTTGTGTTTCCTGTACTTAACTCTGCACTCCTGTTAAAATGCTTCATGGACCAATATTGTGGGAGAGTTTTGGAGTGATTCACTGAGGTATGTTTTGCTGGATCAAAATTTGCACCTCTAAAAAAAGTATTATAGATGATGAAGAGATGTGAAAATAAAAGCCTTATTCAGTTTTTGTATTTGTACCCCATTGAAGGACAAAGTGCAAAATTTGCATCAGTAAAAATGCCTTGACCTTGTCCAGGACTCTTTTTAAATACATATTACATACTGTATCTGCAGGCAATATATCCCATCTTGTGACTGAAAGATGTACTCAAAAGATTTGTCGTTGTCAGTCAGAATGTCTTCAGACTGCAGTTGCCAGACATTATGAAAATAAAGACATGTTTAAATAAAGACCTGTAATGTGCTCTTTTAATGACTCTCACACACCATTAAGAGATCATTCTGTTCCGAAAGACAGACCCTGTAATATTTTGAACTTTCTACATTAGAAATAGTTAACACAAAAACATTTGTTGAAAATGTACTTAACCTCCATCCAACCAAGATAAGAGTTTGTTTCTTCATCAGAACAGATTTGGAGAAATTTAGCATTATATCACTTGCTCACCAATGGTTCCTCTGCAGTGAATAGGTGCCGTTAGAATGAGAGTCCAAACAGCTGATAAAAACATCACAATAATCCACAAGTAATTCACAAGACTCCAGTCCATCAATTAATGACTTGTGATTCGAAAAGCTACATGTTTAAAGATGTTTTTAACTTCAAACTGTTGCTTTCAGCTAAAATACAAGTCCTCTATCCATTATACTGTATTTCTTTCCCCAATGAAAAAGTCCTCTCAATCTGAATCAGGAAAGAAATATGCACAGGTCAAGCCTGCTTTACATGCACAAACAGTCCAAAACAGTGATTGATATGAGAGGACGAAGATAGACTAAACAGAGATAGACTTTTCCACAGGAAGAAAAGTTATACTGGATTATGTACTCATTATTTTGGCCAGAAACAATGGTTTAAAGTTAAAACACCTTAATGATGGATCTGCTTATTAAAAA